TGGAAGTATATCCGAAAATAGGGAGATAAAACCTATTACCATTGGACGAATGAGCATTCTAGAAATAGAGAGATAAAATCTATTTGCCGTAAGGAAGATTGAGTAAGGAGGTTGTATCCGATATCCGCATAGTAATATGCGAACCTTACAAAAATATTGTTATTTTGTGTACCCGGAATAGGGAATAAAACCTATTGTTACAGAGCGATTGAGTAAGGAGGATTGTATCTATTGTCCGCATAGTATTGTGCGAGCATTACAAAAGTATTGCTATTGTTCGTAGAGATGCATACATATATATGCTACATTTATAGTTTTGCTCCCATATTAGATTGCCCATGAGTAGGGTACATCTTTTGATATATGGTATACATGATATGACCATGGTGATTATGAGTTGTGTGTTTTTTCTCTTATTATTCCACCGACTACTCAAAGGTAGTTTGAGATGTGATAATGGTACTATACAGATAAGGTTTTGAGTATTTTTGTTTGAGTACTGTTTTTATTCATAGAGTTAGAATTGGTGTTTAAGGATTCATAATTTAAGACATTTGGTTTATATATTAGGGTTTCCTTGTTTAGATTATTTTGCTCGATGTACCAGTCTCGTATTGTGGGTTTCTAATTATTAATTTTATTTAGATTGTTTATCTCTAGTTCAGTGTTAATGTTTAGGTGCCTACAATTTGAGGCATATGGTATATACATGAGGGTTTTCTTGTTTGGGTTATTTAACTCAACGTACTACATCTCGTTTTGTAGGTGTCTAAATATTAACTCCATTAGATATAGAGAAAATAATATAGGTAGACTATGCTTAATAGATAAAGCCTCCACTTCATCTAGCAGCCTTTCCCCTGGGGGTGGTTGGAGGTAATCTTGCTATAATGCTCTGACGCTCTTGTTGTTATTCTTTTTGTTTAAATTGTCTCTTTCTGGTATATCAGAGTTTCGAAGAGCCGCAGGATGACGGAGTTCTAGCATAGTCGTCGTCGCACAGTCTTAACAGCTGAAGCTCCACTGTATAGTTATGTTCATTTTTTACACTTTAGAGTTGTATTCATTTTGCAGAGGCTGAGTGCCTTAGTGATATTTTATTTGACTCATTGTGTTGAGATTTATTTCAGACTCAGAGATATTTTTATTCTATTTCAGTTAGGCTGATTTATTGATATACTTCTTCTGTGCATATCTGATTTTATACTACTTCCATTATTTGCATGTCTTGTACCTTCACCTATTTGTTGATTCCACTATAGAGATAGTGATTGTGATGGTGAATTATGTCGTAGCATGGTGTATGGTGCTTGGCAGGTTTGACAATCCGGATTTTACCTTGGATTGCAGCCTTTGTGTGAACTCTGGGGCATCACATCTGCACTCCCAAGATCTGCAATAGTCTGATCCTCCTAAAAAAACACATCTGCTCGTCTAATAATTTTCTCTCTTTTCTAGATCCCATAGTTTGTAGCCGAACTCATCTTCTCCATAACCAAGAAAGATGCAAGGAACCTATCATAAAGCTTCTGTCTCTTTTCCTTCGGAATGTGTGCAAACACCTTGCAACCAAACACCTTCAGATGAGAATAGGAAATATATTTTTCAGACCAAACTCTCTTTAGAATATCAAAACCCAAATGAACTAAAGGAGACCTATTGATTATGTAGCATGCAGTACGAACAGCTTCAGCCCAGAAGCTCTTACGTAACTTCGTCATCTTCAACATGCATTTGACTTTCTCCACAATAGTCCTATTGTACCTCTCTGCAACTCCATTATGCTGTGATAAGTCGGGCTCTATCCTCTGATGCTAAATATCATGCTTGGAGCAATAATCTCTAAACTCAATGAAAGTGTACTCTTCTCCATTATCGGTGTGCAAACACTTCAACTTCTTTCCTATCTGCCTCTCCACCATGGCATGAAACTACTGGAAGACTGAAAACACTTGGTCCTTTATCCTCAATAAGAAGACCCACATCCTCCGTGATGCATCATCAATAAATGTGACAAAATACTTATTGCCACCCAATGACTCCACCTCAATAGGACCACAAACATCAGAATAAATCAAATCCAAGATATTATCTTTTCTTTTAGAAGGCTTACTAAAAGAAACTCTATGTTGTTTGCCAAACAAACAATAATCACAAGGGATGAGTGACGAATCTTTGGGAAAGGGAATGAGAGACTTCTTTGTTAATATCTGCAACCCCTTCTCGCTCATGTGCCCGAGCCTCCTATGGCATAAACTGAGAGTGTCACTGTCTTGAGCCACGCTCAAAGAATCATATGAAACATTACTTGAGTCTTATATAAATTATAACATATACTTCCTCTAGCCACCACAAGAGAGCCATTGGTGATTTTAATTTTCCTCCACCAAATTGAATTTCATATCCCATTCAGTCCAAAGTAAGACCCGAAATCAAGTTGAGCTGCAAATTGAGAACATGTCACACATTCTTCAAGATCAATGTGCATCCGATATCTTTCTGTGAGTGTATATCACCCAGTCCCATAATTTTGTAGTAGCTGGTATTGCCCATCTTCACATTGCCGAGGTCACTTGCTTTATACGACATGAAAAGGTCTTGATTGGAGGTAGCATGACATGTAGCTCCTGTATCCACTATCCACTTAGAATTTTAACTTGTAACATACATACCAGTCTTCTTTCCTGCAAATGAGAATAACATTGGTATCAGACAAAGTAGTTATAGTGTCACTGTCAGTTTTTTTCTTCTCATCTTTCTTTTCATCTTTGTTCCTAGCTTGCTCTTTCTTTAATGCCCAACAATTCTTCTTAATATGACATGGCTTCCCACAATAAAAACAACCTCTCCCTTTAGATTTTGATCTACCATTGGATGTGCCACGACCTTTGGACTGGTCATTGTACCTACTCCTGCCCCTGTTCTTCATGACAAGTTCCAGTGAGTTATCTGTGCTGGTAGACTTCCTCCGAGTCTCCTCATTGAATAAACTACTAGTAACTATACTCATCGATAACACACCATCTGGAGTTGTATTGCTGACTATCACAAGCAGTGTCTCCCAATTATCTGGTAAAGAACCTAATAGTAATAAAGCATGTAGCTCATCATCGATAGTCATCTTCATGGTAACTAACTGATTAATCAAACTCTTGAACTCATTCAAGTGCCCTGCTATGTTTCTTCATTCTTTGAATTTCAAGTTCACCAACTATCTTATAATAAGAGCCTTGTTTCCCGCGGTCTTTTGCTCATAGAGATCCTCAAGCTTCTTCCAAAGAGACTTCACATTAGTCTCACACGATACATGATAAAACACACTAACCTTGATCCACATCCGAATATAACTGAACACCTTCCTGTGTTATTTCTCACATTGTTTATCAATCATCTTTTCTGGCTTGGCTTCATTTTCCTCAATAGGATCATGTAAATCTTTACAATATAGAATATCTTCCATCTTGGACTTCCATACTTGCCAATTAGAACTATCCAATTTCATCATTGTGCCAAAACTCTCCATCTTTTCTATCCCAAAGCACGCTTTGAACCAGAACTCTGATACCACTTGTTAAGGATTTTATGGATATTAATCTGCAGAATTAAACACTAAACAATTAATGGCACCGATGAAAATATCACAAACAAGCAAACACCAAGATTTAACGTGGTTCGGTAAATCATGCCTACGTTCATGGGCAATCCATAAAGAAATATTTTATTATGAATCTAGAGTACAATCCCTCCAAGTTCCACCTGAACTTGAGAATTAAATCACAAGAGAAAGATACAGTGTTACCTCTAGGGCATCAAAACTTTAAAACCCATCTCACTGAAAATCTCCAACACTCGTGTAGAAACCAACATTGTACCCTCGACATCGTCGTCATTCTGAAGACAACGGTTTTTGAATCGCTGTAATCGGACAACCGAGCTATCCATAATTTAAACTTTTCTCTCTCTCTTTCTCTCTTCCTCTCTTCCCCCTCTTTTCTTCTCTCGGGTTACTATTCATGATTTACTGTAGCACCAAAAAATTTACCGGTTTCTCATGAATAGAATTCCTTTATAAAGAAATTCTATTTTGAGGCCCTCCATATCTATTCCTATAACAACTAGATCATCTAATTCCTCTTCTAAATAGAATTTTAATTCATGTGGACCTCATGTGGGCCTTATCTTGGGCTGGACCCATAACGGCTTTCTTGTCCTTATTCATCTTTTTACAACTTCTATATTCAAATGGCAGCAATCTTCTGATAGATCATATGTATCCATTAGCGAGTTGGAATGGTTTCAAGAAACTCTTGATAATGGGAAATTCACAACCGGCAGGTTTTCAAGAACTGTGAACACTAGTACAAAACAACATATGGATGTATTCAGTCTTCAATTCATACTTAACATAACATAATATTTGAACGTTCAAAACTTTAACACAATTATCGTAATTTCCAAAACTCCACTATAGTTTTCATTTTGTCTAATTAACTGGACATGAAACATTTTTCCTAGAAGAGTGCACTTATTACCCATCTGACTCCATATTATCAAACTACAAGCTGGAAAATATCCGATATCTGATTCAGGACATTAGCTATCAATCACTTGCCCTTTCAATGTAGAACAGAAAGTAATAAGTAATGCATATACTAATTGCAAGTTTATTTATCCCCATTATCAAGTGTAAATCTAAGGTAGGTTGCGATCAACCAGGTGCTGGAAGGATACATAGAGATCATTGTCATTATTCAGACATACCTTATTCTTTCTTTCTTTCTTTTTCTGAAAGTATGACACTAGTACAAAACAGGTATAGTAAACATATTTTCATCCAACTTGATGTAAAGTTTTAGTATTCATTCTAGTATTTTAATCATTGTTTCTCATGTGGCAGATGATCCTCAATTTTGTTAAATCTAGAAAGAAAAAACATACTTCTGGGAAAAAAAATTAAGAAATTCAGGTGTAGTAAACATATTTTCATCAAGAAGACTTACGCAATACTCCTTAGTGCTGTTGTCCGGGTATGTATACTCTCCGGTGTTATCTACTGATGGCGAGTGGGTACCCAAATATAGTTTCAACATTATAGGTGTGCCACCATCCTCAATGATTTGACCTTTCTGCAATTCACCAAAAATATGTTGTATAATCGATCAAATCAATAAGAATTATATAATATGGATTTTAAATACCTTTATGAAGCAAATTTGAGCAGGGAGGAGTTGTATGTCAAGATAAATCTCCTGAATCTGATAAGGTTTCATGGGTTAGGAATGATTTGAATAGTAAAATACTTGTTGATATTCCTACAACTTCTAGGGAATCTGTAGAACTTAACAATTCTGTAAAGTGAAAAAGTAACCATTATAAAAATACATGTTGTTTAAAATTTATATCTTCCAATTTATAAATATGCCTATTTCGCATATATCTTATATGAATTGTAAAATTCTTTATAGGGCTTGACGAATATGTCTGGAGTTCCATCACAGAGAAGATCACGTAGACTTATACATCACGGAGACCTGCATCCAAGCGAGAGAGCGTAGGAGAGAACTTAAATCTGCTCATGTATCGACATCCGTGCCTAGCATTGGAGAGTTTACTCCAGTTAGAGGTAACTATTTAATTTTCTTTTGATTTTATTTTAACATGATACCTAATCTTTATCCCTTACTTATATCTCATTATTTTGTATTTTTAATATCACAATTGTGCTACTCCTGTTATTTAATAGAAGCAATAATAATTTATAAAAGCTTTAGGTTGGTACATGTTCAAATATGTTTAGATTAATGAATTGGTTAATGTTTTAATTAGATTAATAAATCCCTCATAATTATGCAAATGCATATAATGACAGAGTCTAGATAGTATGGAGCCCCTAATTCTTGATATTTGGATACAACACTATCCCTCTAGTCAATTTGATTTCCTACTGCCAACCATATATGACCATTTCCCAGGATTAATAACCATTAGAGAGGACGATTTTAAGGAGGGAAAATCTTATAGGTTTTTTAAAATGTGGACCAAACATGTTGAGTACTCAAATATTGTTCAAAAAGCTTGTTCTCAAAGGGTCAGCGGATGTAAAATGTTTCAAACTGTATCTAAGCTGAAAATTGTGGAGGAGGAACTGAAGCACCTGAATAAGAAACGATACTATAATGTCAGCCAGCAGCTGAACTCAAATATTTCTGCATTTTTTCACTCAAAAACTTTCCTACATCGTTTTCAGTTAAATTTCATTACAATTAATAACTGCAGTTACAAAAAGATTTTTTTTACTTGCAGTCCATCTCTTACACAGATATAGACGCAAATCGGCAAGCGCCTACAGAAGACAATGATTTACAGATGACCCCCCTTCACGCTCCATACCTTGTGGACAATCGTCAGGTCAGTAATCTTCTACACTCAATCTTGGTTGTAATTGAGATGCTTCTATCATTCTTTATTATCTTTTGGTGGTTAATGTGCTTTGCTAAGCTTACAAAATGTTGGTAGTTCTATAAATAATGAACTAGTATTATTTTCATATCTTTTGCAAGTTGGCAATTCATTTCATTTCATTGATTATTTTAGATTGCACTTTAGCATGTATATCTGATCAATACTGTAGAAATGTATCTGTTGCAGATACACAGAGCAGCTACATGTGTGTATTTGCTACAGATACCCAGCAGATACATGTGTGTATCTGCTGTGTATCTGCTGCAGATACACAGCAGCTACATGTGTGTATCTGCTACAGATACACAACAGATACATGTGTGTATCTGCTGTGTATCTACTGCAGATACACAACAGCAGATACATGGAGGGGATAAAATGGCTGTCTCGGGTATTTATTTGGGTTTAAGGCCTTTACAGATTGATAAATGATGCCCAGAGCTTAACATGACTTCCTGGTTGGGACTCAGGAAGTTTTATCTATACAAACCCTATACAGAAGAATAAGAACCAGCTGCTCTTGTCATGAAAATATACGAATGACAGTCAAGCCCTCATTAATTTCTTTCTCTCGTTGTTTGTGACCTTGATTTGTTTTGAGTTTGTGATCAGCTCACATCTACTCGGTTCTGGTGCCCGGTGGTAGTAATTTTTGGACCATTTAGTTTGGATTTGGATCCTCTCCACTACAAAAAAGTAGTGGAGAGACCACTACTTTTAATCTCAAGCATTGATTATTTAGTAGGCGGTTATGATACAATCTAAATCTAACACTTACCATACCCCCGTGTATTGCACTCATTCCTAATTTGCACTAAAAGAAAAAATCATAACCATCAACTAGATAATCAATGGCTGTGATTATGTAGTGGTCCCTCCACTATTTTTTTTGTAGTGGAGAGGATCCGAATCCATTTAGTTTCTTCAATTTTTGATGTGAACATGACCTATTTTTTTCATGCATCTGTTAAATAAGAGGAACATGTAATGCTAACTATGCTCTGAAGAATGCTTAGGAAGTATGCATAAAATTAGTGATCTTAAATGCCCAGAACCGGATGGCTTCAATACAAAAATTTTTAAAAGATCTTGGCCAATCATTGGGGAGGAAATTATTGCTGCTGTTCAAGACTTTTTTCATAAAAGTAAACTCTTAAAATCAATCAATTTTACTACAGATTACTCTGGTTCCTAAAGTTAGCTGTCCAAATCATGCTTTTGATTATAGACCAATGTCTTATTCTAATGTCATTTACAAGTGCAACTCTAGTGTTATCACTAATAGATTGAAAAAAGTGATGAATCATATTATTAGTGAAACCCAAGGAGTTTTTCTGGTGCTTGATAGGTATCTGCTGTGTATATGTTGTGTATCCGCTGCAGATACACAGCAGTTACATGTGTGTATCTGCTGCAGATACACAGCAGCTACATATGTGTATCTGTTGTGTATTTTCTACAGATACACATCAATAGATACATATGTTTGGACTTTAGACATGATATTATCTCCATTTTTCTTACTAGTTTTATTTTTAAGGGGTATAAGGATCAAAGGCAGTTATGACAACTTACCATACAATATACTACATTCTTTTTGAATTTTTGATAGCATGCGCCTCAACTTAATATATGCTTTGTCATTATCCCGCTCCCGACTTGAATCATTTGTTATTAGGAATTCAAGGTTGTTTCAGCATGTATTTGTGTTTTTCCTCTCAAAAGCATGCTTCTTTCATCATGAAATATTTGTACTTAAATAAATAGCATGTATTTGTGTTTTTCCTCTCAAAAGCATGCTTCTTTCATCATGAAATATTTGTACTTAAATAAATTATTTTTATTGTCTAGTTGCATCTACATCTGCACCGGCATGTGTGCCAAAAACACTCTTTTAATCTTCGTCCTTATCGTGCTCTGAGACGTGCGGAGCGACAGGGCGATGGAGATAACAGTTTGTATATATATCATTTTAATTTATATTATTTATTATTCTTTATATTATCTAATATATTATCTGTCTCATCACATACAGTTTATTCACGATCCTCTATTCGCACTCGAGGCCCAATACTGCCCATAAGCTGAAGCCCGATGCTGAAAAGGGAGAGAAGACATGGCCTTTGTACCTTAATAATAGGGGTCGCGCCATTGGTGACTATGTTGAGAAATGGGGAAAGTATGTGGGGGAGGAGAGTCGGGGGTACTGCAAATATCCTCTTCATTTAGAATGGGGTGATAAACATAATAGGTCATTTGATGATTTCTTTATAAGATGTCAGGTATAAATATTTTTATATTTTAATTTATTCGATTAATTTATTATCATTTGGTACATAATATTTTAACTGTGTGATTCGTTTATTGAATATACAGAAGGATTATGAGTTTCTCCCCCTGTATCCTAATCAACCTCTCTCCCATCATATTGTTTATCGAGAAATGAAGTCTCAGTTGCAGGAGAGGGTCCCGTATAATAGGTGTCAAGTAAAACAAGAGTGTTTTTGAGGTGTGGAGAAATACTCCCGAAGCAGAGAGGGAGGCACTCTGGACTACTTCGACATTTTTCTTGGATTGATAGATGCTCATGGGCTAAGTTGTGCGCTTATTATGATTCAGAGGACAAGAAGGTGTACAGTTTATACATAAATCAAATGTTTAGTATGTAATTCATTTTGCCTTTGGTTGATTACAAATCTAAATATAATAATGACATGCAGGAGGAGGCAAGACGTAATGCGCAGAATTGGGCGTCAAATTTGCATGGTGGGAGCTACCTATACAGGTGGCTCAAGGAACATGTGTCGGACTATGGATCGATTGGTAAATTTGCTTCTTAAAGCTATTTAAAATCCACACTATATAATTCTTATTGATTTGATTGATTATACAACATATTTTTGGTGAATTGTAGAAATGTCAAATCATTAAGAATGGTGGCACAGGAAGTAATAAGTTCTACAGATTTCCTAGAAGTTGTAGGAATATCAACAAGTATTTTACTATTCAAATCATTCCTAACCCACGAAACTTTATCAGATTCAGGAGATTTTTCTTGACATACAACTCCTTCCTGCTCAAATTCTTCGTCATCATTGATCTCTACAACCTCCGAATCTATGAACTGTGGGACGTTGTAAGTATCCTTAGGCCTCCAACGACATACAACACTCCACCCTGAATGCCTCAAGCACTTAGAGTAGTATACTTGAAATGCTTGTTCTAGAAATATAAATTGGTCGTCCCCAAAGGAAAAATGTGTGGTGTTTACACTCGTCAATCCATATTCATCTACCCAAGTCCCGTAATTATCTCTCCACTTACCAGTGTGTGGTGTTTACACTCGTCAATCCATATTCATCTACCCAAGTCCCGTAATTATCTCTCCACTTACCAGTTCCAGTCTTCATATCATACCAAACAATTCATCTACCCAAGTCCCGTAATTATCTCTCCACTTACCAGTTCCAGTCTTCATATCATACCAAACACACTGGAAGATATAAATGTATCATGCTTATCCTAGATAGTTGATACCAAGTATGTTATCAAGGTACCCATAGTATATCTCGTCATTAGTGCCTAGGGTTGTAATTCTACTATTTTGAGTGGTTCGAGATTCTTATATAGACTTAATTGCAAACTTATAACCGCCAACACCGAATCCTTTATAGTATTTAACTTTAGCATCTGGAAGTGTAGCCAAATATCCAAGTTTCTTGTCTAATATTGATTCTACACCCGGTAATCGGCTCTGACAAAAAGCTTAATACGGCAATTACATAAATATGTTAGATTAAATTAATAGAATGAGTCAAAAAATAAGATAATAGTAATCTTACATAATGTTTAATCAATTGAAAAAATTGTCCTGATGATGTGTTTCAACACGTGCCTCATTCCAATTACTATGTATTGCATGTATTTCATCCTTGTGTATTCTAATGTCAAAATGAGTAGTTAATGTGAGAAGTATATTACGTCATATAAACATATATAATTATGTGAAATAGACATACTCTCTAACTTCTCCAAGCCATTCAATATTGAGAAGCATAAAGCGATGAATCTTGTTGATAAATACGAGAGTCATTCTGTTGTAATCCGGCTTTTTAGATGGCCCGTCATGAATCTGAAGAGGTCTGTTGAGTTTTGTCTCAATGTCTTCATCCAGATAATGGGAATAAAAAGTGGTTACTTCCTCTAGTAGATAACCTTCCATAATAGAACCCTCTGGTCGATTTCTATTGTGAATATAATTTTTTAGAGTGAGAAGGTACCTACAGAAACATACACTAAATCACCACATCCAAGTTGTAAAATAAAAATATATCGATTATGTTAACTAAAAAACTAAAGGTACCTTTCGATGGGGGTACATCCATCGATATTATATCAGACCAGCAAGCCTAGCCTCGGTTGCAAGATGAACAGTCAGGTGTATAATGATATCAAAGAATGATAGTGAAAAAATCCTCTCAAGCTTGCACAACATTAAGGGAATTTCAGCCTCTAGCTTCTTCAACTTATCATCCTCAATGTTTTTAGCACACAATTCCCGAAAGAATCTGCAAAGGTCGTTGATGCTCCATAATAATATGGTGATCATGACTCTTCAACCTTTCGATCTTACCTTTAACAATCTTTATCTTCTTACTAAATGATCATGAAAACCCCGTAGGAACCTTCAACTCATGTAACACCTAAAGAAACTTTTTCTTTTCATCTGGTGACATGAGATACACAGCATTGAGGAGTACAAACTAGTCTAGATTACCTGCCTTTGATATAGGATGCAACTCGTTTCTAATGTTCCACGCCTAGAGATCCCTTCGAGCTTTGAGGTTATCTTTTGATTTTTTATATTTACAGAGAAGTAAGTTAAGTATGTGCTCAGATACTCCCTTATCAATGTGCATGATGTCTAAATTGTGTCGTACTTTATTTGTCTTCCAGTAGGGTAGTTCAAAGAATATACTTTTCTTGTTCCATCTCTGTAGTGTTTCTTGTCTTCCCTTAACTTTTTCAAAAGTCATGTTGTTTTTACCATTCCACTGAGCAAGTATATCCTCTTTAGATAATGGGTTTGGATGTGGGTGTTTCTCTTTAGTACTATCAAAGTGGATGATGTCATCTCTGTATGGATGGTTTTCATCCAACATGTGCCGATGGCCGCAATAACATGTCTTTTTGCTAAAAGATAGTCTTCTTGATGTTGTCTAGAGATGACAGTAAGGACATGCAGTGTAACCATGTATAGACTAACCAAATAGCATTCTATACATAGGAAAATCATTGATAGTCCACATTAAGGTTGCACGCATGGTGAAGTTTTTCCATGTATCCGCATCGTATGTCTCCACACCATCGATGAATAAAGACCTTAACTCTTTGATAAGAGGTCGAAGGTAGACATCGATATTATTTTTCGGTGACTTAGGACCATCAATAAGAAGAGTCATCATGAAATATGGTTGGTCCATAGCCAACCACGGTGAGAGGTTATAAACCATCATCACAACGGGCCATGTGTTGTAGGGATTGCCCTTAAAGCTGAAGGGGCAAAAGCCATAACTAGCCAATCCTAGCCTGATATTGCGAGGTTCCTGACTAAATGTTGGGTGCCTACTGTCAAAATTCTTCCATGCATGCGTATCTATAGGATGACTCATTCATCCATTTTTACTTGGACGTGCACGGTGATGTCAAGTCATTACCACTGTTGTCTTCTTCTACTTGAATAGCCTCTATAGCCTCTGTATTATAGGAAAATATTGTACTATCTTGATAGGTATATCTTTCTTCTGACCATGTACTTTCTTCTTATATCTAGCCTCTCTGCAAGTAGGACACTCTATCTTATCTGAATGTTATTTTCAGTAAATTATACAATTTGGGACATGCATGTATCATCTCACACTTCAAACACAGATTAGACGTTTTTTTAGCTTCGTACCAGTTCTCAGGCACATGGTTCCCCGGAGGCATAGAATCTTTAAGAAACTTGAGGAGCATCGTAAATGGCTTGTTGCTCCATTTATTTAGATATTTAATTCGGAATAGATGGACGAACTTTGACAGTGTGGAGTGTTTTGCATTCTCATAAATGGGCCTCCTAGCATCATTCATGTATTTATCATAATTATCTTCACGATGTCCTCCTCCAAAAGGAAGATCTTTAGTGGGGTTAGTGTTACCAAGAGCTACCTCAACCATTTCCTTCATTTTCTCATTGAGAAACAAGTTTTCTTCTTGTTCTTCTTCATCTACATCACTAAGACCTTTAATTTCTCCATGATATACCCAAGTTTTGTAATCGCTAACAAAACCATTCTTCACAATATGAAGTTCTACTTTCTCCATGATATACCCAAGTTTTGTAATCGCTAACAAAACCATTCTTCACAATATGAAGTTCTACTTCTTCCTCCAATTGATGGTAATCGCTAACAAAACCATTCTTCACAATATGAAGTTCTACTTCTTCCTCCAATTGATGCAACTTATTCGCACATAATTTACATGGACAAATGAGTCTCCCATATCCAACCATATTATGTCTACGTACAAAGTCCATGAAAACACTAACTCCATTAACGAAAATAGATTGCATGCGTTCTGCACGACCCATGTACATCCAATCCTTATTTCTGATGTAGTTACGGGTTATGCTAACCTAAACAAAATAATTTATCAGTAACAACTTCTAAAAACATGGATTTAGGGAATAAGCAAAGCATGATCATGACTTTACTTCGAATATAGGGTTACAATTAAAATCCAAATAGTTTAAACATGTTCATCTTATTAAATAAAATAGAAAATTATGTAAATATTATATAAATCATGAGGTATTAACGTAACCCATAATTTAAGAGATTTAAGAAGTGTCTAGAGGAAAACAGCAGTTGCTCCTATGTTACTTGGGTACTTCTATCATGATGTCATACTTGTACCCGACACGTACCCAATACTTATCTGTACCCAAACTTCATGGAAACTCCTTTGATATATGCATATGTTTATTCTGACATGTGCTTAATTATATGATATATATTTAAATTTAAACACTTATCAAACACTTCTTGAATGTATATCTTACACTTCACAATACTCACATACATTTCTTGAAACTTGTTAAACATAGTTCGAGTTCATTTCAGCCTATACCCAAGTTCAAAAATATGATTTTAAAGGGCTGTTTTGAGTATCTAGTTAATATCCGAGCAGCTTCTAGTTTATAATAACCAACATAATAAAAGAAACTAAAAAACATAATAAGAATTCTAATTCTAGTAACACATGAATTGAAAAAAAATAATATACTCTTATGTAAATCATTAATCTCAATATAGATATGCATGTTTTCTCTCTAGAAATGCTATGAAAACTACAATGTTACCTTCCTCGATCTTCCTAGAATTTTAACTAGTTTTGATCCAATGATGAAAATACGATTGCATAAATATCACAATATCAACATCATACATTACATTAATTTTTGTGAATAACCATAAAGTTTAGAAACTATAAAATAATAGTAGAAAAAACTCAATATTTCCTAAAAATAAGAAAACTCTCAGAAATTACCTTAAATAAGTCTACTGGAGAAAGAGGATGACTGAGGAAGAGAAGGCAACGTCGAGAAGTCAATTAATTTGCAGTAAATAGGGAAATTGGGTTAGATGGTCAAATAAATTAGGTTTAGGGTTTTGTAGAGAGGAGATAGTACTAATTTACAGAGGATATTGGGGCAACTTGAGGATGAGGTGGTGGAGACGGTGGAGGAGGATGCGGTGGAATCGAAAGGCGATGGAGGAGGAGGCGAAGGAGCAAGATCCCCGACGAAGATGAGGGAGGTGGAGGGGCTATGTTGGCCCGCGGCAAATATGATCAGCGAGCCCCGGACGAAGATGAGGCGGAGGAGCGAGAGTGTTGTTGGACGAGAGGCGCGTTGGCAGGCAGTCGCAGTCGGACTTGGTTGAGGAAGATTCGAGGGCTGGGGAGATTTCTTTGGGGGGTGCGCTGGTTTTAGGGAAAATTTTGGGGGAAATATCGCGGGTTGGGGAGAACGGGAGAAAAAGAATTTTCGTTTCTATTAAAGACAGATCAAAACTCCCAAACGGTGTTAACCGTTTGGGATATAATACCGATTGGGATAAAATATCCCAAACGGTTAAATCTATTTGGGGTTTTTCGTATGGATTTTTATAAACTTCCAAATGGTTTGGAATTAGTATCCCAAACGGTTTCAAAATCTCCATCGGGTAATGAGCCTAACAAAATGATCGCCTTGTACTCATCCAATATCTTCTCATCAATATTTGTTGAGTCCGACAACAACTTTGTATAGTTATTCACATGATATGCTAGTGAGGTACCCCTTAACATCTAGAATATGAATAATCTACGCAGCAAGTACAACCGGTTCTCAACACTCTTCGTAAGATACTTGTTATTGAGAATCTTCCACATTTTCATCGCAGTCGTCACTCTAATAACATCATATTTCAACTCTTGTTCTAAACAAGATATGATCACCCCACAAGTATTTTGATTCATCTTGTTCCATATCACCTCATCATATTTAGGTGGCCTCTCATGAGTCATTATTGTTTCTTCTAATTTTTGAGCTTTCAACGCATCCTGCACATCACTCATCCACAACCCAAAATTAATTTTACCGTCATACTTCACAACACTAATCTTCGTATTCTGAAGTGCAACCTAAACTGTACTCGACATAGCCTTGCTACCTTCACCACTTCCTACTCTCATTACTTACTAACTCTAAATTGTAGAGAAAACTTTTTAAATTGATAGAATTGAGGAATCACCCAAATTAAATCCTAGATAGGACTCCAAAAAATAATTTCCCAACCACACAAGGAAGGGAGATCTCCAATGGTAACTCTGCAACGCTATCTCCACTGAAACCTAGATCTCCAAAATCCAAGCTTCCAACACCGAATTTTTCTCCATCCAAATCAAACTCTAGATAGAAACCCTAGGGCTTTGATACCAATTGTTACGCCCGGCGGAAGCAGACTCAAACCACAACGAGTCGATAAGCAACGAACAAAGAACTCCACGAGCACAATCCATAATAAAACAGCCAAAATCAATCACAAACACATAGATATACGTGATTCGGCAAGTTGCCTACGTCCACGGGGAGAGGATGAGGAGATTTCACTATATGGAGGAGAAATACGATGGGTTACAACTCTGAAACAATCACAATAACCCTAACCAACAAGATCTCACTGACCCTCAAAGAATCTCCCTCTCAAAGTGCTCAAACAACTCTCTTATCTCTGATAAAAACTCCTAACAAAACGTGCATTTAATATATATAAAACCCTAAACCAAAACAGACTGGGAAATGGATATATCCGTTTTGCCCGCTATCGGTCGACTGATAGGAAGTCATCAGTCGACCGGTAAGTCTTCATCGGTCGACCGATATGGATTCATCTGTCGACTGTCCAGTGTGAATTTTTCCGTTCCTCCACTGTGCATGTATCAGTCAACTAATGACTTCTATTAGTCGACCGACCAGAGTTTTTCCTGTTCCACGTCTTTTTCAACAATTATTCGCTGTTTTCAATAGTTATATATTAAAACAACCATCAGGAATGACACTGGCACTAGTTTACTCTTTGATTAGATATTATTAATTAATAATTGATGTTATTAATTAATAATTTATTAATAATTTACTAGCAATAATTATTATAATGATAATTGTTATTATTTTCTTAGGAAACAATATCTATCTTCTCCTAAGAAACCCGTTTCTTAGTTTTCATGTGTCACGCTTTATCATCTTTGCATCACTCACATCAAAATGCATCAATTGTTTCACAATTATGCCATTGCACTTTTTTTTTTCTGCCTTCACTACTACACAACCAATCCATTCTAGTAAAAGTTCTCTTAGAACATCTCGTGTACTAGTGGAGTTTTATTAACCGTTATTGAGGAGGAGTATGAAGGCAACTTGACGTTATGGTTAGGAACACCCCTTGGCATGCTGGGTGTTCTGAATCTAAAAGGGGTTTATATTTATCTCTCTCTGAACTTTTCTTGCATTGCATGGATAACAAACTAGCGTATATCTAAAATTTATATAATAATTATTTTTTACGGAACTTAAAATTTTAGTTGTGATTTACATATGTCTTATCATTTCAATCATGAATCACCAATATCATTTTTGAAAGCTAGGTTTAATTTTTCGAACTCTAATTTGAATATTTTTCCAATATCATTCAATCACCGCCATGGAAAAAAACAATAAGGGGGCGGTTTGGCTCTTTTTCGTGGGTTACCATGTGATTGCTACAGCAATATGAAAATCAATGGTCTAGATGGACCTATCAGCTACAGTAAAACAATCCCAAAAGAGAGCCTTTTGTCAGGAATTAACAAGACGTTGCCAACTCAGATTTTTTACTGCCACGTAAGCCTCCTTTACCCAAACAAACAACGTATTTAATGTAATATTATTATAGCTTGACAGCTACAGTAGCTTCCCACCAATAACAGCCCCAACTAATTAAACATTTCCTAATTGAGCGTGAATTCAATGTTCTTAACAACTAAGCCGACAGAACGCTGAAACCGTTTGCACGGGTTAAATGAATTGCCGCCTTTTTTATGGGCTACGTTTTTATGGGCTACGGTAAATGGGGAGATTTGGGCCGCTATCAGATCTAACAGGGCAATTGTAATGGCCCTAAGGTTCAATTTGGCAACCTGCAAATTTGGCCGGTTTGAAAATATAAGGGCAGATTTCTGAAACAATCCCCTCACTCACGCCCCCTCTAAGTTTACACGTTTCTCAAATAACCCCTTATAAAATATGTTACAAAGTCCCCTCTTAGTTTTCTAGGGTTGTCAGAAAACCCCCCTTCAACTTTCAATATTTTTCAAAAATGCCATATATATAGTGAATCACAACTTTCACAACATTCACTGGCAAATATATTACCATGCGTGATTTTATACATCTATGTAAAAACTCTGATTAATGCTGTTATAGTTTTTTTTCAGTGGAAATTTTTAAAGTTTAGGGGGACCTTCCTGGGAGCCCCAAAACTTGAAGGTTTTGTGACGTGTTGACAGTTAGGGGGGCAATCAGAGAAATGCCCAACCGTATGCGGGGTTTCTGGGAATTTAACCTTGAGAAAAAGAGTGTGTTAGTCAAAAACTAGGCCGGTAATTGCCCAACAGAAAATAAAAGAAAATAGCGCTTAAACAAGCTTAACGTCGAACCGCATTATCCTGGTTTATTCATAGCCTGATTGGAATAACAAGTGGGCCAGTTTCTGAGTGGTGATCAAACCAGAAGGTAACAATTCCAACTTGGATAAGGCTCATTAACAACCTCAATTCATAGAACAAAAAAAATCCCACCTACGCTACAAATGTCTGTCATTAATGTAAGAAAAACCAAAAAAAAAAGTAACAATTGAAGGCATTAAGTTAAAAAAAAACATTGTAAAACTAAACAGATAGAACAAAACTATAGCAAGTGGTAACAAAATATAACTACTATTAAAATATTGATATAAAAAGTGGGTTAAAATTAATTCGACAGATTGTTCTCGACTCTTCAAAGAGGATCGGTTTAGAAATAAATAAGGGTAAAACTTTGGGTGTACAGGGATTTTTTTTAAGCAAGAGGGTTCAAAAATAAATTGGTGTAGAATTTTGGGTTTTTGGGGAAAAAAGCCTTTTGATAAGTTGGTGAGTTTAAAAATAAATAAGAGTCAAACTTTAAGCTTATAGGAAAAAATCCATCTACATTCCCTTATGCTGCAATATTAGTGGAGGAAGCCAAAATAATAATTGTTTAGGAATTTGACTAAAAAATACACCGTATATCTAATTTCTTTCTACCAAAATAGCAAACTAGAACAAAATATAACAATTTACAATGTACACCGAACTAATAGAAAATTAAATAAGTTTTAAAATATATATTTCAATAAAGTTTTTTCGGCTTAGAGTATTTTCGAAATGGGTGAGTTTAAAAATAAATGAGAGTGAAATTTTAGTTTTTTTAGACCAAAAAAAAATTACAGAATAATTCATTATATTCTTATATTATTTTACTAAAGGTGTTGGGCTGATTTTGGCACAAGGTGAGCTTCGAAGGAACTAGAGTTTAGCTTTGAAATATATCTGTAAATTATATAAAAAAAAGGTCGAAACCACCACATGTATGTTTGCGGAACCAATTTCGCGCATTGTGGGGCCCATGAGACGCTTTACGGCACAAGATGTTCTTAAAAAGCATTAGGACAATTTTACACTCCCTTAATTTGAAAATTACATGCGGTATCACTTTCTTCTTCTTTCAAGGGATGAAAAGGCAAAAAAGTAACCTATGCAGCTATGCTTAGAAGCCCAAGGTCTTGTGCCCATTTACATGAAAACCCACGTAGTTATATAGGTTCTCATATACCCGAGATACAAAGTTTACTTACATACAACTAAGTGTACACTTACTGACTTACAGAGTAAAGGTGTACAGCTCCATACTAGAGGATGTATAGCTATATACAATAAACTGTATAATTACATGCTATAGGGTGTACGTACTATTTTGTAATTTGTAGCTACATACTTTGTATTCATATTTTGGGTTCAAAGATAAATATAGTTTGTACTCTGGGTATGTATGAGAACATATAAAACTATGTGGGTTTTAAATTAAATATGAGGGAAACGTTGGGTTTATAAATAAAAATCCATAAGCTATAAATTAAACTTTAGATGAATAGCAAACTAAAAGAAGGTTTTCAAGATTCCACCTTTAAATGTTGCATTACTTGCACTTTGGTACCCGAAAGTTTATGCCTTTTGATCAATTGACAAATAATGAATATCAAGAGTTTTAATGAGGATGCATGTTGGTTATACCCATCAACAAATAATTGATGGAGATTTACTATTAAATTGGTTTCTCCTTTAGTCTAACAGGGTAGTATTTATTGTTCAAAAAAGTACTCTTATTAGGCTTCAAAGTGAAATAGTAGATAAATGTTGGGATACTAACGTGAAACTAAGCCACCAAATAACCAAAATA